TCAGTATACCATGGCGATACAGCCACATCCATGTTTATAGCAGCACCATTCTCGATAGCCAGAAATCATGGAACAAGTCCAGATGCTCATCAATAGGTAAAGAGATTTTTTAAAAATATGTTAAATCTACACAATGGAGCTCCTGCCCTCACTGCCCAGAGTGGGGAGGGGAGGCCACTCCTAGCCTGTCCAGGCATCTGAAAGCCGTCCTCCCCGCCTGTGGGGGGAGGTGAAGGTCCGTGACACGCGTGGGGACCTCGCGCTCTGAGCCGACTGGCGCTCTGAGCAGACACGCGCTCTGCAGCTCTGACTTCTTAGCATAGGGACACGCCGTGGCGGGAAAGCCGGTCCCTGGTTTCGCCTTTGTCATTTTTATCCGTAACTCGGGGTGATGGCCTTGGAGAGAAGCACAAGGCACAGCAGAGCTGGTGTTTGTTCCACTAAATACCAGTCTTGGAAACCACCAAGGAACAATTTCCAATCCAATGGTTTCGTGGGCAGGCCCCTGGACGTCTGGGACCACATGTCAATGAGGAGCCCTGAAAGCCATCCCGCGTCCCAGCCAACCCTTGCTGGCTGAGTGGCTTTGAAGAATCACATTAAGGCCTATTCATTATTTTGATCCTGAAAGCCAGCTTCTCACAGGCTCGTCCACCCAGGGAGCCCTCGCTGTCAGCTGGGAAAGCCAGGAGGGCAGGCGGCCCCGCGCACGGCTGGGAACCACCCTGAGGTGGCTGGCAAGTTGTGGGAGCCGGCCATCTGTCTCCCTGGGGCCAGGAGGGTGCCCTGCGACCAGCTCTGGGCTGCGTGAGTCCTGAGAGAGACGTACTCACACACCCGTGCACACGCAGGGCGCTCACAGGGAGAGCCGGATGCCCACGGGGAATCGGATGGACTTCTGATTCCAGACTCTGAGTAAATGAAAGCCACTCCTGTGTACAAGTAGGCGTAAGTGTCAAAAGAACTGGCATTTGACATGGTAAAGTCAAGTTCATGGACTATTTTCACACGTAACCCTTTGAAAGAGGGAGCAGAGGAATCCCCCGGCGTCAGGCACAGCAGTGAATACCTGGCTGTCCTCCCTCAGCCCTGCTCCCAGTAAGGAGGCTTTGTCCCGTGAAATCGCTGAAAGCCACAGCCAATTCAAAATCAGCTGATGTTTTTGGTTTGAAATATAATAAAAATATCCATTTCTTTTCTTGGCAACATGCGTTGAAGATCTATGAAAATAGGAAATATCGGTGGTTTCTGACTCCCCCTATTTTAAGCAAGAATATGGAAGAAATGAAAATCTCGAGATCTGGAAACCTCTAATTTCTCTAGGTTTTAGTTGGCTTGACTTCTCTCTCTTCCTCCTCTCTCCTTTTCCTACCATCAAGTGAATCCTTTGGGGAAGAAATAGGCTGCAGCTGGACCTGCCTGCCTTCTGACTGGTCTGTCTGGGCTCAGGGTGACGGCAGATCCCACGGCGCCTTTCTATTCTGCATTCCAGGGGGATCGGGCTGGGAGCTTAGACAGGTTCTGTGACTCACAGCCACACCGGGCCCGGGGGGATGCTGGAACATCTGGCCGTGGACCCCAATCCCTTCGGCTGCCCGGCAGCACCAGCATTGATCTGGAACCCTCTAGGATTCTCCACACTTGAGCTTCTGCTGGCTTGCCCAGCGACCGCCTGACGTGTGCACTTGTGAATGTGGATTCACACGTGTGCCCTGGGCACCAGCAGTCAGGGCAATCAAACTACTGAAGTCTGCTAACTGGCCATGGTTGCCTCCCTCCTGTAGAACAAGGTCCACCCCCTGCCCCCAGTGACCCCGTCCCCTGATGTGTCCTAACCCGCTGGTCCCGTCTCGTACTCCGGAGACGGGAGGTCCTGCCGTCCAAGCCCTTGTCCATTTCCAACAAACCAAGGACCAGCAAGGCTCTGCATCTCCCCTGGGCGCCCCTTCCACTGAGCTGGCCTTTCCTCTTTTCCCCCCCTGGGGCTCATCCTCCCCAGTGGTCCACACCTAAGTATTAAGCCTGGTGATGACATGACCCTCCCGGGCGGGCCTGCCTGCAGGGTGGATTTCAGGTTAGGAGGGCCTGGGCGCGCAAGCCGTTGTGCCCCTCGCACGCACCACAGAGGAGGAACAGGCTCCCGCCCTGAGCTCCTTCATCTCCGCAGAGGCTGGGGAGACTCCCGGGCAACGTGGCTGCTGGCATCCACGAGGCTTTGCAGGCCCCAGAGCGCAAAAGGCTTCTCTTTTTTTAGGGATTACAGGCAGGCAGAGAAGGAGCAGCCTGCACACGTGATGTTAGAGCCAACGTGTGGCCAGCTGGGCAAGCGGGCACTGGGGTCCAGCCGGTCTACCACGGGGTCTGACCTCACAGGGCTCTGACAGGGATCGGCCCGCACCCTGCGGCGGGAAATGCGCTGTGTGGACGCGCATCAGATTTTCTGATAAGAGCTTTGTCGAGTATTATCTTATTCTAACCTTTATTTTATTTGTCTTTTAAAAATTGTTATCTTTTAAAGTTATTATTATTAGGTACCAGGGACTGAACTCAGAGGACCACTGAGGCACTTCCCCAGCCATTTTTATATTTTATTTTGAGACAGGGTCTCTCTGAGTTGATGAGGGCCTCCCTAAGTTGCTGAGTCTGGCCTTGAACCTGCAATCCTCCCACCTCAGCCTCCCGAGCCCAGGGATTACAGGTGTGCACCGTCACACCAGTTTAGATCATTCTTCACTGATACAGAGGAACACAAGGTCTTCCCTCTCGGTGGGGACTGTGTATCTACCCAGCGACTGCCTGGCGTGTGCACTTGTGAATGTGGATTTACACGTGTGTCCTGGGCACCAGCAGTCAGGGCGATCAAACTACTGATGTCTACTAACTGGCCATTGGTCAGTTTAAACCAGGTGACCACACCTCCTAGACCTTTGTCATCTCTGTATAGTGAGAATGTTCAAGATCCTTCTCCGAGCCGTCAAAGGTACAGTGCGTCACTGCTCAGATACCCCACTGTGCAGGGCGGCTCACCAGACCCACCTGCTCCTGTGGCTTAGTACCCATTGCTCAGCCCCCCTGCCCGCCATCCCCGGCCTCTGTGACACATTCCACACTCAGCTTCTGTGGAACTAGCCCCTGAGACTCCACCTGGATATGAGGCCGGGTGGCCCTTGTCTTCCCGTGCCTGGCCTATTTCATGTAACGTGGTGACTTAAACCGCCATCAGCATTGCTGGGAATGACAGGATCTCATCCTTTTCGTGGCTGAATAGTACTCCATGGTGTATCTGTGCTGCATTTTCTCCGTCCATTTATCACTTGTTGGGCGCTGCAGTCCTTTCTGCTCCGTGGCCACTGTGAACCGTGCTCAGTGAACATGGGAGTGCAGGTGTCCCTTTAGCACACTGATGCCACCTCCTTTGGACATGTTCCCGGCAGTGGGATTGCCGGATGACAGGGTAGCTCCACTTCTAACTTTTGAGTAATCTCCTTGTTGTTTTCCATAATGGCTGGACCCATGTACATTCCTTTAGAGCAGCTTCAACATCCGTCCCACTGGCCCGAGAATGGGTGCAGGCCACAGTTGGATGGGGGAGTTAATGTACGATCCACAGCACAGCGGGCAGCTCAGGGGTATCCCAGGGCACAGCGGGCAGCTCAGGGGTGTCCCACAGCACAGCAGGCAGTGCAGTGGGTCAGCTGGTTCATACATTTACAATAGTTAGAAGCGTTTGAAGGCAGAACACACAGAAATGACAGTGCTTGAGGAGATGGAAACACTAAGTGCCTGACTTGATCACTATAGAGTGAATACAGGTTTCAAATTATGATATCATCCTCCATCAATAAGTACGAATATCATGTCAATTAAATTTTTAAAATAAATCTAAAGAAGTGTCTTTAATCCACCTTCTGTCTCCACGCCCATGCGCCGAGTCCTCAGCAGAACGAGGAGCCCAGGCCATCAAAGCTACCCCTTCCTCTA